CTGGAAATACATTTCAAATATATGAACACCTAACTTAAAAAGCCTATGTTCTTTCCATTACATCTCTCTGGGGACATCACTGTTTGTTCAATTATCAGAGTCTTAGAGAAGTCTACTTCTTGTGAAAATATTGATTAGCTGTCAGCAACAGTAAGACCTATAGTTAGCTTTTAGTTATGTAGGTTTTCTACATGAGGAAAAGTTGTCTGGAATGAAAACGTTTCTGTTAAATGGGAGACGCAAGGCCCATTTAAAATAAGAAAAAGGGTGTAAAGGGTCTGTTATTTTACCCTGTTTGCAAAGTAACAAGTGAGTCTGCAGTCACACACACACACACACACACACACACACACACACACACTCACACAGCCCTCAAGAACATAATATTTTAATATTTCTAGGTCAGAGAAATCATTTTTTTGCTTACGGCAAAAAGCAGCATCCAGAGCAATAACTTGCCACAGCCTCTCACGTTCCAGTTCTCACAGGCTGAGATGATGAATACCACGTGTTTATCTACCGGTGCAACGTGTTACATCACAGAAGAACCCCAAACTTTCACTGGGGTAGTCTGTAGAGAGATTACTCATATTACCTTAGACTATAAGTAAATCTCTAGCATAGCAGAGGACAGTATTTCTAGATTTAGTCCTCTGGAATGTGAGGAAAAAGTCTCTGGGTGGCAGTGGGGGACAAAAGGCTGTCATCTTTTGTATTGTGGAATGTCTCTAAATCTTTCTAGAGGAATACACCATCACTAGCTTCCATATTCAAACATATCCTTTGCTCAAAAGGCCTAGAATATGCAGGAATTTAAGACTGTCATAGAAACTTGTCTCTCAACAAAGCCTTGGCACCAATAATTCCCGTTTTATTGGACCACTTCTATAACCCCTGGTTTGAACTGCAGCTTTTATATTTGATGAGCTATTCTTTATTTTTATTTCTTTTCTTTCTATATTTTGGTGAGATTATTACCCCCAGAAAACAGAACATAAAACAGCAGCTTAAGTCTGAGTAGTCTAGTTGAAAGTATGAAGTTCGGCACTAGGAGCAAGAGATACAGTGAGTGAAACAGGGAAGGAAGGAGGAAAAGCCAAGACAAGCTCACACTTTCACATTTCCTCCTTGTGGTCCTTCAGATATTCCAGGTTCTGAGGGCAGGTGTCCTTCTGTCTCCTTGTGTCTCATGATGAATGATGGTTGGTACAACGTTGTATTATATCACATCAGTCACATATTTTGTTGCTTCAACTCCTTTCCTTCACCTCCTGTTCTTGCTTCCACGCCCCCAAATCAAGCATTTTCTCCTTTACCTTCGCTTCAGGCTCTACTTTCCAGAGAACATTGGCCAAGACAAGTGTTTTGAAGTTTAAGAAACACTTCCACAAACATCATCTTACGTACATCATTTAAAATTAAGATTTTTTTTTTTTTTTTTTGAGACAGAATTTCGCTCTTGTTACCCAGGCTGGAGTGCAATGGTGTGATCTCGGCTCACCGCAACCTCCGCCTCCTGGGTTCAGGCAATTCTCCTGCCTCAGCCTCCTGAGTAGCTGGGATTACAGGTGTGCCCCACCATGCCCAGCTAATTTTTTGTATTTTTAGTAGAGACGGGGTTTCACCATGTTGACCAGGATGGTCTCGAGCTCTTGACCTCGTGATCCACCCGCCTCTGCCTCCTAAAGTGCTGGGATTACAGGCGTGAGCCACTGCGCCCGGCCGAAATTAAGATATTTTAAAATAAAAATATCATGAACATAGTTGAACTATTAAATTGTTTAAAGTTCTTATGTAGAAAAACAGCAATCTGCCTCCCTGCTCTGCCAATTCAATACCCAAAGCTGTTTTTCAACTTTTGAGCAGTAAGTTTCATTTACTTAAGTATTTGTTTTACATGTGTATGGAGTTTCAAAAAATATCAAGTTGAGGGAGGATCCCTTTACTACTTTATAGATAGTTGAGGGGTTATCACCTCTACAATGGTTAGGCTTATTTCATCTGCTGATTTCATTCACCTATTTGTTTTTCTTTTGATTAATAATTGCCTTATTTGTCAATTTGCTTTTTATACATACCTATAATCAATTTTCCCCAAATTTTCTAGCACAATCTACTGAATACCAATAATCCTATTCCAAAGCACCATAATATTACATAATATTTCAGTTTTATTTATTTTCTTAGAAATCTCCTCTCCCACATCTCTATCCATTTGCTCCAATCTGGAATGTTTAATCTCTAGGACTAGTGCACAAATATTACCCTGGCATTTTCCTTAGCTTCCTCCTCTGTTAGATATTCTTTTTTGTGAATCATTTCTTCCAGTTTTTGGTTTACTTTTTCATTTTGCTGGCACACGTTTTTAGCTTTCTTAAGAAGATCAACGTTTTGAGAACCTTTGAACTAAGCCAGTTTATGGGGTTCATCTAGGTTGAAAGTTGGAGAGAAAGATCACTTGGATTTAGCTCAACTTACCTTGATTTATACCAAACTAGAAAACAATATTAGAAAACATATGGGATCTGTATATGAGGTATATATGTGTAAGTGTTTACAGCCCTGATTCTGCTCAAAGTTTTGTGGTCAGTGCAGCCCGGACGTAGTACATAAACCTCAAGGTCCTAAATACTACAACTGTATGCTTGCTGCTTTTAATTCTATTAACTTGGTAGAAGGGGTCATGTCAGCATTCAAGGGTCTGACTAATGCTTTCCTGTCTTATATGTTACTGTAGCATTTGGCTGTGACTCAATCCTCTTTGTTTATGTGAAAATGTTTTTATTTTCCTTGAATTCTTGATTTATAGTTTGGCTAGAGGGAATATTCCGAATTGAAAATCACTTTTCCCCACAATTTTGGATGCTTGGCCTAACTTTCTATTAACCTCCAACATTACTCTTAAGTAATCCAATGTCACCCTCACTTTTATTCACTTCATTGTGTCACTTTTTTTTTTTTCCCACTTTTACAACTTTGTGATCTTCCCTATAACCCATTGAGTTACTTCCCTCACTAGCCTTCTCCCACCTGCTCCCCACCTCCACTACATTGGTAGCAGTTCCCGGGGTAGAAAGGCAGGGAACTTTCTGGTTAGATGCAAATTTATTACCTGCTGTTGGCTCTCTTTAGGAACTTCTATAAATATATTTTATTTTTAACTGACAAATGACAATTATATATATTTATGGGGCACTTTTCATAGTTCTATAAAATGTCTTTAGGTTTCTCTTCTATTGATTTATATCACCAGGACTGTACAATTTAAGAAAGATCTATATTGATCAAAAGAATATACCTGATATGTTCGACAATGAAATCCAGAGATGAATCATAGGAGTTTAGCAATGACGCCAAGTAAAAATGAAAATTATGGTTAAAGAACTGTATGCACATTTATAACATTGATAATGTGGAAATAATCAACAAAAATCAGTGAGTTTGAGAAGAAAGTTTAATAATTCCTGTATACTCACTTTTTAAACTAGGGAATGATAAATGAATAATATCTTAATCTAGTAATTAAAGAAATAATGGTTTGAGTATGTCTTGAAATTATAAATGTAATCTACTTCAAAACCGATTTAATAATTAGCAATCATCCACTGTAAGAACTCAATTATGATACTCTCTTTGGATGAAGAAGATATCAAATTATTAATATTTCTTCTTATGTCCCCCCGTCTTTTAAGGAAGAAGTATTCATTTCTCGTTGTATCTTCTGGAGCAACTGTTTTGAATAAAGAAATCAGGTAATTGGTGAGAAGAGACCTTGCAGTTGAGAGCCTAGGCAGAGCAGGTGGTAAGTATCACTTAACATAGATTTGATAAAAATAGAAGAATAAGGATTTCATGAAACACTGCATGTATTCATTTACTTTCTGAGACCAATACATATTCTAATTGCTTTTAAATTGTTGTTAGCTTTTTTATTGATATTTCCTCAACGGAAATTTATGCTGTGATTGAGCCACAAGAGAGTTTAACTTTAGGTGGTATGCCTTTGCAAATACTAGCCTATGTATTTTATAAGATTACACTTACCAGTTTACATATATTCAGTGTTTTAAGAGAAAAAAATACGGTAAGCAAAATTCCTTTGTTAACCTCTTCAATTGAAAAACAAAATAGTAGTGATAACAAAAAATAAGTTAACTATCATTCCTTTTTCATTTTCCCACTTGTCACTCATAGATCTTGGCAAAAACAATTTATCTGTGGTATAAATACAGGTCTATTTATTTCTCGTACAATTGTAGGATAGAGTTAATAGAGCTTTAGAGTTGTAAGGGACCTAGAAGTTTAAGTGACTTGTCCAAGTTCCGTCAGGCAGTTAATAGCAGAGAATGAATTAGAATTCAAGTTTTTGGGCTGATGATTTTCTTTGCACAATAGTATGCTGTCTCTAAAGCTGTGAATCTAAAATTCTGACGTAGAATAGTCATTGGGAATCACTAGACAATCTCTCAGAACTGGGGTCAAATGCAGAGATATGTGTTCTTAAGTACCCCAGTTGTCAGAGTCCACACTTGGGTATACATTGTCTTAAGGTTGCTTCTCTTAAAGCTGTTAGCGGTCACTGGCTTTCACAAAACGTTTATATCAAAATGTTAATGGTTTCCAGTCCTGATTAATGATAGTGGAGTGATTTTTGTTTTCATCCTTGCAGAAAGAAATCAGAGAAAATCTGATCTCATTGTGTGTTACTGTAAACTTTTAAATTGAAAACTGATTATTATTAAAATAAGTATGCAAAGTGGTTATTTCACATCACGGTTGACTGGGATTAACCTTTTTGATACCTGCACAAATCTTTAGCAGTTTAAATCATTTAAATCTCAGTCCTAGAAACTCGTCTCAAATTCCTTTTCTGTGGGCAATAACAACTTTTAGGGGAATGGAATTTCTGTATCTCTCATCTTCAGCATTATTTCATGTTTTTCTTCATCAGCATTATAAAACTTTATGAACCTGGGCCGGAATGCAACAATGTAGCTTACAGTCCATTGGCGTTGCTGCAATCAGTCTTCTGAGACGCATTTGTGGACATGATTTTGCAGGTAATGGGCTGTTTCAGTTCTGCTTGAGTTTTCATTGCCATCTCCATCCCAGCAACAGCTGTGTTTTGCTGTTGTCCTTTGGAATACATAAATAAAGGGGAGAACATGGGTATTCCTTTTAATGTTACTTCCCAATCGATACTTGTTATAACTAAATAGAGTGTTTAGTTGCATTGTGAGAAAGATGTTATGAAAATTCACATTCTGAAAGTTTCTTGTCGAATTCCAGTAAGCCTTGTTTTTGGCAAATCAACTGTTTTAGTGAAATAATCATGTTCTTTCACAAGAAAATGGAAAATAAAACAATGCAAATAAAGTCATTTGGTTTAGAAGAGGTTATAGAATTATCCAATTCAGAGGTTGACAAGCTATGACCCATGTGTCCAATCTAACCCCCAGCATGTTGTTACAAGTAACGTTTTATTGGTCCACAACTACTACCATTTATTTATCTATTGTTTATACATACCCAGGTTATAACAGTGGAGTTCAGTTGTTGTGAGAGATACCATATGACCTATAAAGCCTAAAATATTTACTACTTGACCCTTTATAGAAAAAGTGTACTGAACCCTCATCTAAAGCAATGGTTTGAAGCCTTTACAGAATTCTTGGAAAGCTTTTGAAAAAATACAGAAGTATGGATCTCATACTTAAGGATGGATATGGTTTGGCTCTGTGTCTCCACCCAAATCTCATGTCAAATTGTAGTTCCCACATGCTGAAGGTGGGGCCTGGTGCAATGTGATTGGATTATGGGGACAGTTTCTAATGATTTAGCACCATCCTCCTAGTGCTGTCTTGTGGTAGAGTTCTCACGAGATCTGATGATTTAAAAGTGTGTGGCAATGCCCAGCTTGCCCGCTCTCTTTCCTGCTGCCAAGTAAGATGAACTTTACTATCCCCTCACCTTCCACCATAATGGTAAGTTTCCTGAGGCCTACCTAGCCATGTGGAACTGTGAGCCAATTAAACCTCTTTTCTTTATAAATTACCCAGTCTCAGGTAGTTCTTTCATTTTTATTTTGATTTTTTAGATGAAGTCTCATTCTGTTGCCAGGCTGGAGTGCAGTGGTGTGATCTCAGCTCACTGCAGTCTCTGCCTCTGAGGTTCAAGCAATTCTCCTGCCTCAGCCTCCCAAGTAGCTGAGACTACAGGCATACACCACCATGCCCAGTTAATTTTTTGTATTTTAGTAGAGATGGGGTTTCACCATGTTGGTCCGGATGGTCTTCATCTCCTGACCTCGTGATCCGCCTGCCTCAGCCTCCCAAAGTGCTGGGATTACAGGCATTAGTCACTGCACCTGGCCTCAGGTAGTTCTTTATAGTAGTGTAAAAATGGACTAATATAAGAATTTAAATTTACTTGGTTTGGGACAGTGCTTAGAGATTCCTACCTAATTCAAACGTATGGTTATGATTGAAAACCACCAACTGACTTCTACAATAAATTTACATTATTCACAAAATACATTGCATTTTTCTGAGAGGACAGGAGGCCAACCAGAGAGACACAGACTTGGTAGTTAAGGCTCAGATAAAAACAATGGCATATAACTTAATTAAGATGACTTACATTTTTTATTGATTGACCAAATAGATTTTTCATGAATGACCTGACATGACTTGAGACTATCCTAAAGAAACTGAATAATTGTGGTTCAGAGGAAGAAAATATTACCTTGGGTTGCAGTGTCAAAGAAGACATCACAAGTGAATATTTTGAACTGTGCCTACAAGCTTCAAATACGGGTAGGATTCAATGCTTCAGACAGGGGTATTAGATATTATCATTATTGCATTCTTTTTTTCTTCTCTGCAAGTCTGCCTTAAAGGCCAAGGAATCAGAGTTTTTCCATTGTGGTTTGCCTCACCCATTCAATTCAACAAAATGTCTGAATCCAGGCACTCAGTGCTATGAAGAGCATATCACAGCGAACAAGACAGATGTTGAGCTTGCTCTATAGAAGATCTCCATACAGTAACAATATGGCATAATAAATGCTATGGTGAGAGAAGTTCATGGTAACTTCGAGTCATATAGTAGAGTTACCTTACCAAGCCTTGAATACTCTGAGAAATCTTTTAGACTAAATACATTCTACATCGGAACATTTCGAAAGATCAATATGGAATAGGGCAAAATAGGGACTGGTCAAAGGCAGAAGGATGGGAAGAATCAATTAAGAAATGGTAATTATTTGGGAGTGATTAGCACAGAGGGCAAGATGGGTGACATTGTGGACATGGGTTTGAAGAGTAAGTAAGATTCAGATGTGAGGGCTTTCATTTATTTGTTTATTTTAAATTAATAAATAAATTTTATTGAATTTCAGGAACTTGGTATTTCTTTTCAAGTTTCAAATCTTTGCATACAAGTTTCCACTATGCTTTCTAAAATAGTGGAAGCTAGGACTTCAAGATTGTCACTTATCTTCTTGTGTCACATTGCACAGACATCCCAAGTCCCAACACTGCTCCTTGACTCCCATTCTGGCCGTGAACCAAAGAAGAATACACAGGGAAACTCACGTATGACCCAAATTATGTTGGGCATTGCAAAGTGTATGTGGCATGATTGGGGGGTTGATTTTCCTCTCACTTCAGTATAGTTTGCTCATGGATAGGTGATCTCCTTAAATATTCTAGCTATTTCCACCATTGTCCTCTGCTACAATAATAGAGTAGTTTGTAGTCATGAAGGGCTTTTTAAATGCCATGTTTAGGAGTGTGGCGTTTCTACAAAACAATAGGAAACCCTAAAAGAGTTTTGAACTATGGAATGACATAATCAGAGAGCAAATGTGTTTTTATGCTGATATGTGGGGGAAAGATTTAAGAAGGAGCAGATCTCGAGATAAGAAATTCAATTATGTGTCTGATATAATATTTCAAGACCCAGAGGCTGGTCCAATGAAGCACAGTTGTGACAACAGTGAAGGAGATAAGCAGATGTGTTTCAGAGATAATCTGGAGGTGCAATAGATACAGGATCTGGAGATTGTTTACATATTAGCTATAAAGAGAGGATCATCAGGGATAACAGAAGATCTGGCCCTATCCTTGTCCAAGAAAAATAATTTGGAGTGCATAATATTGACCTACGGAATTGACTATTTCAGTATTATATCTCTCTTGCCTTCAACTCTGCTATTAAAATAACTATAAAAAAAAAAAACCCTCTGGTTCTACTGAGACCACCAATACAAAGTCAATTTGCTTCATGATCCTTGAGGAGAGGGTTGATTTGGAGGATTTCATTTTGTAATTCACTGGGGGCTCATGCTGAAATGAACTGTGACACATTCACAGCTATCTTAATATTGCAAAATGTAGAAGGCAAGAATATTTGCATGCCTCTGTCTGCCAGCCTTGGACAAGAAACCCCTTTCACCTTAAAAATCCATTCATCCTTCCAAATGATCCCATTTAGTGTATGACTCATATTCATTCAACTGCTGTACTTGAAACATTTAAAGGATCCATGGGCCATTTACTTCTTTTAGAGATTGTTAGCAATGGTATCTTGGGATTTATGCTTCCTTTACCATGTTTCGTGAACTGTGAGGTGGGTCTTTGCGATTCATTTATCGTAGTCTGGAAAAGCAACAGCAAGAATAGGAGAAAAATAGTGAGGGAGACAATGTTTGTATTTATTGTTTGTACACTGAGCACTGGCAAAACAGTATTCTGCATTCAAATGATAACTATTCAGCAAGGGATGAATCAGGCATAGAATTATCAAGTGAAAAGAATAGGTTTTATCTGTATTCATATTGATTCCAGGTTAGACATACATCATCTTTATTGAAAATAACACATGGCTTGCAATGAAAGCAACGTGTTCTTGCATTCCCTTTCTAACTTGCTGCACCCTGACTCCATGCATTGTAAAGTTTTCTCTCCCACTTTCACAGCCAAACATTAAATGTAAGTAGGTGTGGGGACTGGAACTAGCTGAAATTAGCTATCCTATTTTAAAAATGTAATTTATTCTTTCCTTTGCTGTCTTTTCCTACTAGACTATAAAGCCCTCTGTAATATCACAAATTACTTCCTTTCCATATGCTGATTTCTTATGCAGTTCCCAACCATAGTAGTTATTTGATCTATCCTTAAAAATTTTATTAAATTCCCTTTTCTACCCACTCTCACACTGAACTCTCTTAAAGGCTCTCTCTGTCTTTAGGTGTCTTATGTTAACTATAAGCCATTTTTCTTTCTCTTTACAATGTCACTTCTCTTAACACCTAGTCTGAAGCTCTTTCAGAGTTGTTACACTTTTGGAAGGTTTTTATCTACCTGAGTTTGAAGTGTTGCTACCACTAACACATCTGTACTTGGCATTTCCAAAAGCAGTGAAAGATTTTAGTAATTTACGTGTATAATTTCAGATTGTAGGAAAAAATTTATCTAAAGAAAACCTCTGTGACATTTTCTAGCTGACATTTCTTTAGTGACTTCTCTGTGTCCTCTGATCCTAAAACCCCAGCCTCCATGGCCGTGTGACTAGCAGGTGTTGATAGATCAATGGCTAAGACACCAGGACCTGCTAAAAGCCTAGAAATAACTGACAGAAATGGCTGTCTTCTCCTGCCTCTCTAAACTTCAAAAAGCCAGCAAAGGATGATCTTTTGGGAAGGGACGGCAAGACGGCCAACCAGATGCGACAAGTGAAACAGCTCCACGGAGGGACTGAGACAACCGGCTGCTTTTTACAGATCTTCAGAGGGAAGGCATGAGAGTGGGCGGAGGGAATATACAGAGCTGGGCTGAACAGGAAGCCAGGAACCCCAAGAGGGCTACAGTGCACTGGGACTCATTTTTGAACCACAATAGCTCTAGAGGACGGGGTTAGTTGAACTGATAAGGAGCAACCTGCTCACACCAGGGAGTCTGGATTCCTGGCAGAGGTGAACCCCTCTACCACTACAGGCACTTGAGGTGGCAAGGATTGCTGCTTGGAGAAGTGGTGGGGCAGCAAGCCGCCGATGCAGAGCCCGGAGGGTTTGGTGCAGGAGCATCTGCACTGAATCGTGGCCAG